GGCCTCAGGCATTGATTTTTTACGGAGAGGGATAGAGAGTCAGAAACATCGATGAGAAAGAAACATTGATCAGCTGCCTCCTGCACGCCCCCAACTGGGGATGTGCCCGCAACCAAGGCACATCCCCTTGACTGGAATCGAACCTGGGACCCTTCAGTCCTCAGGCTGACACTCTATCCACTGAGCCAAACTGGTCAGGGCTAGTTTTGGCTTTTTAGAAACCTGAGTTGTTTGGCCACGTTTTGCTTATTAGCCCAGCAGGTGAGGTTGTACATTGACCCACCTCTTGCTTACTCCATTTAGCTATGTGGAAATATAGGGGTGTAGTGTACAGTTGCTAGAACAGCTTCATTACCATGTAAACTTTATGGAACTTTCTTTCATTCTATTAATTTGCAATGAAATCCATAGGAGATTGGATTACATTATGGATTGCTTAGTGGTCTCCATGCTAGCCACCTTCCATCCATGCATGGGCGCATGCATGTGTACACATGAGCACATGCATGTACCTAGCAGTACTACTTCTTTGCTGACACATGATTGGGCAGCAGGGTTCCCTTTTTGCTCTCAGAGTGTTGCTGGCCACCTTGAAGTGTCCAGGTGTTAAATATCAGAGTGAACACACATTAGCCAGGTAGTAGGGAAAACTAGGTAGCTAAATGTGAGAGGTCCTGAGTGCTTTTGCTCACTTTATTTTGAACCCACAGCAGAATTGTACAAGCAGGGCGAGCCTCACAGGTCATTTAGCCCAATGTCAACACTTTGCAAATGAAGGTTGTTGAAATTCAGGCTGGTTAAGCGGCTTTCCTATGGCTGAATACATTGAGCTGAGCTGTAACTCAGGTGTCCTAATACCGAGTTTAGTGCCCATTTAGGATAACACACTCTGTTTGTTATTTTGTGGGATGTGCAGTTAATGCTCCTAATATCCTCTTATGTGTCCAGGATGAAAATGTTGCTATTAGTTACTGGACTGTGCGTACATTGAAATAAACAGAAACAGCTTCCAGGAGACTTATTGAACCAAAATCCATGTCAAAAACGTAGCATATGTCTCTGACTTGTGGTCTGGGACTCTGTATCCTTGACCATGTGTTTATAAGACAGTAGATGAAGGCAATGTTATAAATTATAGAAATGGTTCATGTCAAAGAAATATCATAATTAACTGAGAATTTTCTTGAGAAAAGTATTCCATACTGCATCTGTGTAGCTTTTATGATTCGTAGAGCTTTCACTGACTTAAATAATTTTTTTTGAAATGCACATACCATGTTTTTAAAAATACTTCGCCTTAAAATATTATAAGCCCTTGTCATAT